TTTTGTCTCTATATCCTTATGGTGGTCCCCAAATTACCTGGGTACGCCCTACTTCTCTCTCCAACAACAAAGTCCACACTGGGCTCTGTCTCTGTGCACAACAAGTACTTTATTGAGAGAGGTTCTCACTGTGCACAGAGTTGGAGAGTGGCCCAGTTGCTTTGGCAGACCTTTAACTAACTTGTCTGCTTTCTGCTCCATGACTCACTCTAGCTACTAGCCCTGATAATTCTGAGCTTTTCCTGGACTTTGGAAGATTTATAATTATTTATCCAATATTCTTTTCTTATTCTTGTGTTAGCTGAGTGTGGGTTCCACAATATAACTTGTAGAAATTTCTTATTGTTGGTGAAAGATTACATAACAGTGATTTATCATACAGATTCCTGAGTCATACTGTCTGGCTTTGACAAGCTCCTAAGCTCCCTGTGGCTCTGTTTACAAAATTTGAAACTGGGATAATGAAAGTACCTATTTTGCAGAATTATTTAGGTGTTTTAATACATGTAAACCATTTAGTGCAGTAGCTAGCCCATTGAAAGCACTGCGTAACAATCTGTCATTATGTTTCTCTGGTCTGCTGGAGATACCTCTTCTGGCTTTTTAGCACTCTGGATTCTTTTCTTTCCTATTTTTATATTTCTTCTGGCATTCTAGTGGGATTTTAGAAAAAAGATGAGATTAAATACATTGGCTCAGTTCATCCCCTTGAACTGAAAAGGAGTACTTGCATTTGACAATAATTAAAAAATGAACATTCTAGGTTGTTAACTTTCTACTATTTTGAATTTCACATTCTCTTGATGCTTAGAATAGTATATCTGTAAGAAACCTTAGAGATTATCTAATAGAGCTCTCTCACCTTAACAATAAGCAAACAAATGAGAAATAACTTCCCTAAGGTAGCAAATCTCTTTAAGAAAAGATCCTATACGAGAATAAAAATCTCTTGCCTCCTAGTCCAATTCTCCTACCACTAAAAGTAAGTAAATAAATACATATTATAGGTACCAATGTTATAAATTTCGTATGTCTGTGCCTATCCTATGTCCATTCACTCATCTTATTTAAAGCCAGCCTGGACTTTGATCCCATCCTGGCCTGCTGCTTTTTCCAGAATTTTAAATTATCAATAACACCTTTGTTTTGTAGTATATTCAACCTTTTGTTCTTAACTGGATTCTTTCCATTGGCTTTTAACCATGTTGAAATCTATCACTTTATCAAAAAGGAACTGCAAACTCATTTGACCCTTCATACTCCCACTACCAGATGCTGCTTATCTTTTCACACTCTTCCCCCTTGAAACTCCTAGAAAGTACTCTCCACATTGTCAGTCCTTCCATCTTTTTTCATTCTATTTGAATCTGCTTCTGACCTGACACTCCAGCAAATATCTCTCACTAAGTTCACTTATATGAACTCCATGCTACTAAAACCAACAAAAAATTTTCAGGCATCAAATTCTCCCATTTCTCAGCAGCATTTGACCTATGTGACCACTTCCACCATCTGGATACATGTTCTTTTTTAAGCTCTAGGGTATGAACATGCTAATTTTATTTTATTTTTTATCCTCACCTGAGGACATGCTTATTGATTTTTAGAGAGAGAGGAAAGGAGGAAAAGAGAGAGGAAGAGAAACATTGATCGGTTACCTCTTGGACACACCCTTACTAGAGACCAAACCTGCAACCTAGCCATGTGCCCTGACTAGGAAGCAAACCCAAATCCTTTCAGTTTGCAGGATGATACTCCAACCAACTGAACCATGCCTAATTTTTGTCCCGCCTCCTTGCCCATTTTTTCTCAGTAGTGTTTTCTGGCTCATCAATTCTACCTGACCAGTAAATACTGTGGTTATACAAGGCTTGGTCTTAGTTCTTCTTTATGTCTTGCTCTCCACTCTCCTTGGTTGAGTCTGTACCATCAGACCCCAAATTTACATCTCCAACTCAGATCTCTCTCCCTACTAAAAAATATCATCTCTTTGTAGATGGCTCAAAAACTCCTCAAAACCAGCATGTTCAAAGATAAATCTTTATTTTCTTTCCTAAAGATGTTACTCTTGAAATGTTTCATAGCTTAGTGAAGGGCACACTCATCAATCAACTTATGCAACATCCAACTAGGGCTAATCCTTGATACTCCTCATATCTTATATCAATTCAATACCAAATCTATAAATTTTATTTTCTAACTATATCTTAAATCCTTCCATCTCCTTCTATAATCTCTAGATGCTGCTACCATCATTTTCCCACTATGCAAATAGCCCTCTAACTGGTCTATTCACATCTGCTTGCTCTCTCAATCCTTTGTTTACAGTGAAGTCTGATAGATGTTTTCAAAATGCACATCTGATTATGTCACTTCTCTCACCCTTCCCTTCTCCACATTCATCAACATATATCTCTATAAACCCTTTAAAAGCTTATTATTCTTAGGAAAAAGAAAAAAATACTTCATATGGTCTGCAAAGTCCTGCTTGTTCTGGCCCCTGCTTACCTTTTCAGCTTATCTTATGCCATGTTTTCTCCCATTACCTCCATTCTAGATGCACATGGCACTCCTTTTTACTGTTGAGCATAATCATTGGCTCCTCCCACCACAGGGTTTTGCACACATGGCTTTCTCAGCTGGAAACACTCATCCCTCCCTTCTTCACTTGGTTAACTCCTCTAGGCTTCTCATATCTCAGTTTAAGCATTATTTGTTCAGGGAAGACTTCAGATGAAGCCAGCTTTCCTTAGCAAAGCTCTCCTAGTTCCAGATATTGATTTATTACCATTACAGTTGTATGTTTATTTATGTGAATAGTCCAGTAATTTCTCTCTTTACCACTACTTATTCATTCACTCAACAAATATTTACCAAACACCTTACTATATTGTAAGTATTATTTTATAGAAGAGGTGACAAAGTGTAAAGATAAACAAGCAATATGATGTCAAGAGGTGAAAAGTACTATAAGAAAAAGTAGGTTAATAGGACAGAAATTGAGAAGCAGCTCCTTTTGAGAAGACATTTAGAGAAGGCTTCTTGGAGGAAGTGACTGAGCAGAGATTTGAATGAAGCTAGAGAGCAAGTCATGAGGATGTCTGATGAGCATCTGGGGAAGAAGAAAGAGAGAGGATAAAGACTAGAGGGTATTTAACCTGTTTGAGGAATAGCTAGGAATTCAGTGGAGCTGCAGTGGAGCAAGGAGAGAGTGGTAAGAGATCAGAAGAGACAGCAAGGAAGGAGCCAGGTCATGCAGGGATGTGTAGCCATGAGACTTGGAGAGATATCATTGAAAGTTTTTAAACAAGGAGTAACTAAAGCCAAATGCTTGACTTCTGAGCTATGGTTAATAATATGGTGTAGCATATTTGAAAGTTGCTAAGAGAGTAGATCTTAAAAGTTCTCAGCACAAGAAAAAAAGGTGTGTAACAATGTATGGTGACAGACATTAACTAGACCTACTTTGGTGATCATTCTACAGTATATACAAATATATTGTATCTGTTTCATCATTGAAACATGTCTGTTGAATCATTATGCTGTACATCTGAAACATGTCATGTCTGTTGAATCATTATGCTGTACACCTGAAACTAATTATAGTGTTGTATGTCAATTATATCTCAATTTTTAAAAACCTATCATACAGGAAAAAAACAAGAAGTGACTGAGTGGGTTCTGTGCATGTTCTAAAATGATTTCTGTGACTGTTTGGGTGTGAATGGATTGAAGAGGGCTAAAGGTAGAAGCAGAAGTTCAGCTGAGGCTGTGGCAGTGGTCCTGGGGATAAATGATGGGGTCTTGGACTAGGGTAAGCTTGTGAGAAAGGACTAACAGGATGATGACAAAGGATCGGAGTGCATTTTGAAGGTAGAGCATTTTGTTGATGTGTTCCTCTCAACCTAGTGGTGGGTTTCCTTCTCACTTAGAGGAAAGGCAAAGGACTTAGGCTGGTGGCTGAGGCCATTTGTGATCTTGTCTTTCTCCCCCTTAACTCCCTCCTGTCCAGCCACATTGGCCTACTCATTCTTCTGTGCACAGAGCAAGTGAGCAGGATCCCACCTTTTGTATTTGATGTTCCCTCAGATATCAGGACTGCAGGTATCAACATGGTTTTTTTCCACCTCAGGGTTCTGCTCAAATTTCTTCTTATCAGAAAATCCTTTCTTGATCTCCCTATATAAATGATTACCTCACCCTAGCACTCTGAATTTTCCTGATTAATTTCTCTTTGTAAGTTATTTCCATCCTACATATATGTATATGTACACACAAACATATAATGTGTCTATATTTATTCCATGAAGGTAGAGATGTGGTCTGTTTCATTCACTATATAACAGAACTCCCAGAATATTGCTTGGTACACAGTAGGTATTTAATAAATATTTGTTCAATTAATATTGTTGAAATAGAGAATGAGAGAGAAAAGAATGGCTTCAGGGTTTGGGGCCTCAATGACGGTGCTACCTCTTGAAGTAATATTGAAGATTTTTCAGAATGAGGATTGGGACCCCCTGCTCCAAATCTCCAGCTGAAGTGTATTGTAGGTTCAGAGACATCCTGACTTCCTTTGGGGCCCACAGAAACTTGCGACAAGTCCAGAATCCTGGGGGTCTGGGCTCCTCTTCTCTCATCATGGGGAAAGAGGGATAAAATAGTAATGAATTAAAGGAGTCTCTCAATTCCTGAGACTCAAAGTGACATCAGTTTGATCCAAACCCCACAACTGATGTTTCAGAGGTTATTGACTCTGTGTGTGGTTTCCGGGCAAACAATTGGCCACCTACTTTAAGAGACAATATACCTAAGTGCTTTTTAATGCAAAAAGAAAGAAATAAAAAAGAGCTACCTATTTTCCTCATTCCTGCAGGTGCCCAACCCGATTGACTTGTTGGAGTGCATTTTCTGCATTCTTAATAGATAGCTAGCAGGAAATGCCTTGTATAGCTCTACTAGAGGGGCAGAAAGCAGTGAGTAGAGGATACAAAATCTCCGGTCCCTGCTCCTGCACACTCTCAGCTGCTCTGAAGGGGGCCAGGCAGCTCTAGCCATCAAAACACACCTTCACTCAGCCATAGGTTTGCATCTTCATCTTGCTCTGTCTCCGTTGATGGTTGGGAATTAAGGTAGGACAAGCTGGGGACATTTTTTGGGTGGGGGGGTGGAGGAGGGATGGAAATTCAACTGGAAAGGAATCAGGGTGTGGGGAATGGTGAGCATCATATGCTTTGCTCAGGGAGATGCAATCTAGTCCCTATGGGGCTTTTATTCCAAATGATCCTTGTGACGACCTCTTTGACTCCCCAGCCCAACCCTGGGTGCTGGGAACCATTCTGCAGAAAGGTGGTGTGTCCGTGCATGTAGACTGTGGTAGAGTTGAGGCCAAACAGCCTGTATTGTATTCCATGTCATAATGTTTGTGCAAAAGATTGGGTAATATTTTGAGGTATTTGGAGCTCTTGGTGTCTGTATATTTTGTGCACTGGGACAATTGTAAAGCTATTGTGTACTTTTATATTTTTGCTGTTGTCATTGCACAGCTGGCAAGGTTTTGTCTGCAAGAGGCATTTACTGCAAGCCAGGCACTGATACAGAAACACCTTCTTCAGAAAGCCCCATCCTTTCTTCTGCTTCATTGATATCTCCTCAGTTTTAGCTTTGTAGCATCTGCTTCTAAGCCAAACCCACCCTGACCAATTCACTTGTAAGTAGAGATCCCTCACAGAAGGCTCATTGGAGGATAAAACTGCTCAAGTTTCTCCAGAGGTGTGGTGAAATGCAGTTCTGCAAAAGATTAAGCCAAATAGCAGTTCTCAGAATTTTAACATCTCTCAAATACAGATCCTATCCATTGAAGGCCAAGTGCAATGAAGAGAACTGTTCCTGAACTGGATTGGTGCAAGTAGCCCATGGCTTCCCTTTGAATGCATGTCGGTGTGTTTGGGAAGTAACACAGGGCAGAGGTTGTATTTGCAGTTTATTCAGGATCTTCAGTTCTAGGGTTTGAGTCCTCCAAGGTGAAGGGCCTAAGATGTTGCTTGTGACTTTTTTCATCTGTACCCTTTTCTGCCTGTGGCCAGGTGGCCTATGTTCTAGTATCCCAAGGATACTAGGAATGTGCTTCAGGGCTCTGAAGTTCCAAGGGTCCAGCCAGCAGTTTCTCTTTGCTTCTGTTGTGGCGCCAAGGAGACTTAGTAAAGATAGATAGGTGGCAAGCTGTTTCAAGCCTGAGCCTAGAGCAGTGGCCACAGGCAGTTCTGAGAATAGAGTCCTACAAAGGTACTAAGAGGCTCTTGAAGGGAGAGACTTCAAAGAGAAGCCCTGAGGGAATGCACAAATATTCTGCTTTCTTCTATAAAGGAAACCAAATCACTGGGATAAGGTCCTGGCTCAAGGTCCTCCAGAAATTAGAGGCCATGCCTTCACATTTGGTAGATGGGGAGACTGAGGCCCACAGAGGAGAAGGGACTATTAGTCCCCCCACCCCCGGTAGACAGTAAGGGCAAAAGGACAGACATAGAAGCCAGAGAGACTTGGGTTCAAATCCCAGCTCTGCCACCATGTAGCTGTGTGGCTGGGGCAGTTTATTTCATATTCTCTAAGCCCCAGTTTGTTCATCTCTAAAATAGGGATAATGAGTACTTTGAGGCTTGAAAAGATTGGAGAAAATATATGATATATTTCTGTCACAAAGTAGGAATTCTGTAAATGATAGTTTTAGGAAAAGTACTGCCTCCACATTCATCACTTTATAATTCATAACACCTTTGCTTTATTTTATTTTTGCTATTTTTTGAAATATAGCTGACATACAACATTGTGTGGCTTTATGGTGTGCAACATGTTAATTTGAAAAATTTATATATTGTAATATGATGGCCATTGCAGCCATAATGAACACCTCTCATGTTATATAATTATCCTTTTTAGCAGTTGAAATAATTAAGTTCTAGTTAGCAGTTTGATGATGATAATACAGCACTGTTGTCTATATTCACTGTACTGTATGCTAGATCTCTAGGGCTTATTTACAACTTGTTGCAGGTTTGTACCCTTAAACAATATCTGTCCTGTCCTCTGGTAACCACCATCTTATTTTCTGCTTGTACAAGTTTGGCTTTTTAAAATTCCACATTTATGTGATAACACACAGTACTTGTCTTTCTCTGACTTATCTCATAATGTGCTCAAGGATAACACCTTTGCTTTATTTCTACAACTCTGAATATCTGAATATATCATGTACATTTTCATTGAGGAATAATTTACCTACAGCAAAATGCACAAATCTTAAGGGACCAATATGATGACTTTTGACAAATGTATACATCCACATATAACCTTTGCCTACCTTAAAATGTAGGACATTCCCAATAGCCTCTTCTCCTGCCTCTTCCCAATCTCTACCCCATAGGCAACCACTTTTTTGACCTCTATCACTAGATATTATTTGTGCCTGTTCTATATAAGTGGAATCATATATATTTCTTTCTTTCTGGCTTTTTTCACTCAACATGTTTTTGTGATTATTCCATGCAGTTGTGTGGGTTGGTATTTTATTCCTTTTTATTGTTGAATAACATTCCATTGTATAAAAATGTCACAGCTATTTTATTTATTTTCCTACTGATAGGCATTTGGGTTTTTGTTTTTCACTGTGGGGCTATTATAAATAAAGCTGCTGTGAACATTCATATACAAGTCTTTGTGCGGCTACATGATTGTATTTCTCTTGACCATATGTACCTAGAAGTGGGATTGCTGGGTTATGTGGCATGCCTATGTTTAACTTTATAAGAAAACTGCCAGTTTTTCAAAGTGGTTGTTCACATGTTTTTTGAAATAAGGATACAATGGATTCACTTTTCAAGTAGTGCTCAATCAAAAGCTTCTGCAGAAAATATAGTCCAATTATGACTAAGGCTAGAATGATTCTGAAAGGAGAGTTCTTTAGAAAGTGTCCCTACTGACTGTAAGGTTCCTTCCTAACATCCCCATCATAATCTGTTGACACTTCTAACAGAGCCATAAAATAACAGGCTGCAGAATTCATATACTCCAATCTCTTCATCTTATCCAAAAGGAATTTGAAGCCCAGAGAGGTCATGTGGTTTCCCAAAAGCCAACCTCAGATCCTCTGACTTCTCTAATTGACATGATTTCCTTGCATTGTGCTGTCTGTGCATGAAATGGCATCCAGCCATTCAGCCCTTGTTTACTGAATACCTACCTACATTGTGCTAGGTGCTAGGGATAAAGAAATGAGTAAGAAATGGACCCATCTTGAAAGATCTCACAGACCAGGCTATTCAACTCTCCTCATTTTCATTATATTCACAAAAATGAATAGATTCTTCATGTGTCTTTAGCCTGAGCACATAGGTAGCTAAAGGTAAAGAAGTAATCAGATGTGCTACTTCTCCAGTTAAAAGAGTCACAGCATGTCTTGAGTGCCTGCTGTGTGCACTCAAGAAGCTCACAGTTACAATACAATTACAGAGGCCAAGTTTAAGGCAATGCAGCAAATGGCTATTGAACATCTATCTATTCTATTGCAGTCCCTGTTCTAGGTGCAGAGAATAAGGTCGTGTGTAGAGCTGATGTTCCAAGCACTTTTCTTTTAAATATTTATTTACTTATTTCTAGAGAGAGAGGAAGGAAGAGAGAAAGACAGGGAGAGAAACATTAATGTGTGGTTGCCTCTTGCGTGTCCCCCACTGAGGATCTGGCCTAAAACCAAGGCATGTGCCCTGACTGGGAATTGAACCTGCGATCCCTTGGTTCACAGGCCAGCACTCAACCCACTGAGCCACACCAGCCAGGGCTGCTTCAGGCCCCCCCCCCTTTTTTTTTTTACCAATGTTGCCACAATATACTAGTGTTTAAAAAGTGTGTGTGTGTGTTTGTGTTTCTGTGCTGAGATCTACATTTGGTTCAGAATATAACTCTCTTGAGTCCTCAGGACTGGTATGGTTTGTAATTGCTAGTTTCTAAGATGAGGTGGAGGGTAGATACAGGCCATCATCATACATAGATTCCAGCATCAGGGGGAGTGGGAGAAATTGATGTGTTTTATTCTCTTGCATGGAAGAGGAAAAGATGGAAAGCAATGCTTACTTTGACAACTGAAATTGTCAATATCCACTGGATTCCTTAGTCAGCTCTACAGGGCAGCTCACCCTGTTGTCTAGGGAGATCTACATATAGTTCTGGGAGGAGGAAGGCACTTCCCCAGAAGGCAAGTTACTTTGTGATTTGACCTCGTTGTTATGTTTTTAAAGATTTTATTCATTTTTAGAGAGAGGGGAAGGGAAGGAGTAAGAGAAGGAGAGTAATATCAGTGTGTGGTTTCTTCTCACATGCCCCCTACTGGGGACCTGGCCTGCAACCCAGACATGTGCCCTGGCTAGGAATTAAACCAGCAACACTTTGGTTCACAAGCTGCCCTCGATCTACTGAGCTACACCAGCCAGGGCTCATTGCTGTTTTTTAAAAAGATTTTATTTATTTATTTTTAGAGAGAGGGGAATGGAAGGAGAGAGAGAGAGGGAGAGAAACATTAGTGTTGTGCAATAGAAACATCTGATCAGTTGTGTCCTGCACAGCCCCAACCGAGAACCTGGGCCACCATCCAGGCATGTGCCCTGACCAGGAATTGAACCTGTGACCCTTCACTGAGCCACACCAGTCGGGGTCTTGTTATTTTTTTCCTGATGCTCTTCTAGTCATGTTGCCAGAAAATTCTTCTCATTTGTGAGGAAGGACCCCTTTAGTGCTTCATAGAGCTCTGTCTTATTGTTTCCTGAACACTGATCAGACTACTCTCCTCAGCTCATCCTCAGATCAGTACAACATGGTTGTTGAGCTAACTGCTTGCCCTCAAGTATGCTGTTCATCCAAACTATAGCTAAGCCACTTGGAAAAATAGTGCCAGTAATCTTTTACATTTCATCTGCAGCTATCACCTGTGTCACAATGGAAAAAATGAAGAAGAGTGCTGCCCAGATGGAGAAGCCTGTAAAAACTGAGTGGGGTCCCCGGTGTGTCATTTTCACCTATTTTCAAGGGGACATCAGCAGTGTAGTGGATGAACACTTCTCCAGAGCTCTGCGCAATATCAAGAAACCCCAGGAATTGATCCCCTTGAGCCAGAGTAAAGATATGGTCCTAAGTAATGGTAAGCATGTTGGGAGGGAGGAGGCTGGACTTCCCTATCAAGGATACTACTGAAAGACAGTTCTCTGATTTCTCTTAATGCACATAGACATAAATGTATTTGCTGAAGGTAAGTCACATTGTCTAGATCAGGGATGTCAAACTCATTTTCATTGGGGGCCATATCAGCCTCATGGTTGCCTTCAAAGGGTGGAAATAATTTTAGGACTGTATAAATGTAACTACTCCGTAACTGTTAAGGAGTTGAAATTACATTCAGCCCTTTGAAGACAACTGCGAGGCTGATGTGGCCCCTGGTGAAAATGAGTTTGACATCCCTGGTCTAGAGAGAAGCTGCCACCCATTTCTTAGAAGTTTAATGTGAAAATGGACACTGTTCAATCAAATTAGTTTACCTATTGTATTGTTTCCTCAATTGTGTAAAATGCTGGGTTCACTGCTCAATTCACAATAAGAGCACCATAACTATTTGCCATTATCACCATTATCAGTATTATCATTATAGTTGTGATTACTATTACTACTATTGCTGGCCTCACAGGGGCAGGAACACCAAAGCATTCATGACATTAAAAAGCATGTCCTAGTAGGTACACCCAGCCTCCTCTCCACTAATAGTGGATGATCTGGTGGTCAGGGATAGTACCAGAGACAAGTAGGTAGAACCTCACCACATCCCTCTTCCCACCCTTAACAATATCAAGGGTGTCTACTGCACTCACTATTTGGTAACTTTTTAAAATATGTATTCTTACATCTCAAAACAATTATTTTAAGAGCTATGTCAAAATGTGCTCATTAAAATATCTATGTTTAGAGAAAGCCACAGAAATTAAGCTGTCCAGGGCTACTGTATGACTTTAATGGACCCTAGACACTTTGTCTTCATAGGCCCATTCCTCATAAAGATATGAAAAAGGACATTTTGTGACTGCATTGGCATAAAAACAAACATAATCCAGGCTGCATTCATCTTATATATTCATTATCATCAGTATATTCATTTTCTTTCCATTTTAAAAGCAGTTAAAATATTTTCATGGTCTCCTAAGAGTATTCATGGGCCCTAGGCACTATTCCTGCTGTGCCTAATGTAGAAGTCATCCTACCAGCTGGATGTGAATTGATGAGAATCTTTATCACCTTTTTGAAGTGTGCAAATAGACCAGGGTCTTATTGATTTTTAAGAGCTCTTTATTGAAGTTGTTGAGCACACATGTTGAATGCCTTGCTCCTATTGGAGGATGTATATGCCTCCAAGTGGGACACTTCATGCAAAGTGGCCAACTAGGGCCTCTGCCTGCAGGGGAAGAGCTCACCTGTTTTCAGATGCCATCACTCTGGCTTTACTCTTTGACTTTGGACAAGAAGTTGATATATATTTGATATACTCACCTTTGCAGAATTTACTTCTCTCCAAGAGATTCCTTTTCCAGTCAGGTGATGTGATTTTCTTAGAGAATCTTATGATTTAAGTAAACATGTGGAAGGGAGTATGGTAGTAGTATACACTAAAGGAAATGCTGTAGAAGATCTTGTTGTTAAAATGGCAACAAGGAGGCAGGTGGAGAGGTGGGGAGGTGATGTTCAAGAGTGTTCTGAGTATTTCACAGCAGGAGAGGGAATGATTGATCTTGAGACATTTGGGGAATTGATATATGGAAAGTGGGATTCAGAGGACCTTTCTGGGTCCTGAGAAGGTACAAAATTCCAGGCTCTTCAAGCACAGATAAGTCTGCTAACTTTGATTCTTTGGATCAAAGATTGGCTTAAAATTATTCATTCATAAAAGTTAAAAACTCCTTCTTTTAAAGTAAGGAAATTTAAAGTAAGTAAACTTCTTTACTTTAAAAGAACTTTTTAAGCATGAAAATAATGTGTTAATTTTTGAATATTTTAGAAAACATGGGTAAACAATCAGTACACAAAACCACATGGGCTATGCACACATACTAAGTTTTACAACATAACATTATTTTGTACAAAATGGGTTGTAACTTTTTAATAATTAACAATAGTTGTATGTATCTCTGTGCCATTACATATTCTACTACATATCATTTTAATAGCTCAAGAGTATCTTTCTGTTAGATATACTAAATCTATTAAAATTTTTAGACATTTAGATTATTGCCAATCTTTCACTGTATTATAAATGCCACTTTGAATCTTGTAGCTAAATTTTTACATGCATCATTAATATCCTTAAATTGCTATGAGTGTAATGACTGGGTCAAAGTATATGCATAAATTTTAGAGTTTTGATATGTAGTGATAAATTACTCCCCAGAAATGTTATGCATATAACCTGCCACCCCTCCAACCCCAGTAGTGTGGGAAAGTGCCCAGCTCACTGTACTCTTTGCAATGTTGGGAAGTCATATACAGTGAGAACATGAGGTTTGGAATCAGACAGCTTTACCATTGCTAACTCTGTGGCCTTAGGCAAATTACTTTAACTTGTCTGAGTCTGTATTTTTCTCATCCAGGCTGCTGTGAGGATCACATAAGACCATGTATGCATGGTGTTAATCAAAGAGTCTTCTCCACAGTAAATGCCCAATAAACAAAAGCTGTTCTAGATTTGTAGTTGTTCCTTCCCATCTCTGATGTATTCCTACCTGAGAGTGGACACATACTGAGCACAGGCTTCTGAAATGTCTCTCTCTCTTTTAATAATTTGCTTCTTTATCTCTTTTTTAAAATATTTCAATTTTTTATGTTTTACAGTTGTCCTAGTCTTTCCCCCTTTGTCCCCCTCCATCCAGCCCACATCCCACTTCCGTTGTCAATCCCCACCCCATTATCTATGTCCATGGTGTCTCATATATGTTCCTGGACTAGTCCTTTCATAAAATATCTTTTAGAGGAAGTACCTACTTGATCCCCCACATCAGCCCTGAAGTGCTGCTGCTATGGTTTTTTCTGCTCACTTTCCCCCCTCCCTTCTTGGCACTGGGTGACTGAGGGCAGGGAGGACCCTCTGGCCTCATACATTACCGTTTTGCTTTTTCCTGGGTTAATTACATGGAGTGTTGCAGACTAGGAAAGAAACCTATGCATATGAGCTCAAACTGGGTTTATAAGCCAAAACAATGATTAATAAAAATAACAGCAAAAGCTATCACTTATTGAGTGCCTATTATGTACCAGACACTGTGCCAGGTTCTTTACATAGATTATCTCATTTAATTTCACAACAATTCTGTGAGGCTCAGAAGTGGTAGGTGGTGTGTTCAGTGTCACACAGCTAGGAAAAAGCAGAGCTGGGATTAGACTCCAACTCAGTCTGACATCAAAATCTGTTCTCTTAACCACACTTCACATGCTGCTCTCCTCAGTGTAGATTTAGTGAGGAAGTATTGTATGTATGCATGTGTTTCAGAGTGGGTACATGTTTGTATGTGCACTTGTATGCATAAGCACACATATACATATGTGAGTACATGCATACATGCATGCATTCATTATAATAATATTTAGTCAGGGTCTACTATGGGCCAGGCACTGTACAAGTTCCTGAAGATATAGCAGTGAACACAAGAAAAATGATTTTAGTCCTCTCAAGTTTTTTTGGCTAGTGGGGAAGGCCAATAGTGAATGAATGAGTGAATGGGTGAGTGAATAAATGCAGAAATTATAGATTAGGACTATTGCTGTGAAGGAAATAAACAGAGGAAAGTCACAGACAGTGGCAGCAGGATAACAAACTTTAGACTGCAGGTTCAGGGAGATCCCTTCTGAGGAGGTAACATTTAAGTTTGTGTATAGAAACTAGTTTGGAATAGGGGAGCAGGGCTACGATGCAAAAATAGAGTCCTCTTGGGTGGAAACAAAGTCTTTAGCACCTAGAGATGCTTTCTAGAGGGTTCTGGGGCTCTCAAAAGTGTATATAGGCAGGTGTGGGAAGTGTCTCTGGGTTTTCTTAGGAGGCAGGGGAATAGCTTGCCAATTTCACCCTAAAGGGAGAGAGTAGCAAATGGGCACTAGCAATCTCTAAACAGGACCTAGTATTAAGACCAGAGGCCTCGGGAATTATACAGGCATGGATGGGACTAAGAGGCAGGGTCTTTGTATTCAGAGTTGGAGTATATGGAATGGAATCTTGCATTCCTATTGAAAGAAAAATTCAGCCTGCTCTAAGTATCCCAGATCCAAAGTGTTCCTTACTTGTTCTCCATTCATTAATGTAGTTTGAGGTTTGAGAAGGCAGCAGAGTCTTTCCGGGGGCTCCCTCACTCATCTCCAAAGGTAACTAAGAGGGGAGACTTGGATAAGAAAGTGTCACCAAGGGCCACTTCTAGTAGTAGCAGCAACCTTGAACCAGTCCAGGCTGTGGTTTAGGATACCTTTATTAGTTTACAGAGTGGATGGGTATGGTTGCTGGAGCATTTGGCCCAAGAATCCTGAGAAAGATTGGCCCACCACGATTCAGGATCTCTACTCCATGGGACACCAACGCTCAAGCCTAGTATGGAAAGGTGGCTTTTACCAGACCACTCAAGGCCCACTTTTGGGTTGCTGTGAACTTGGAAATGGGACAGTATGTACCTCCCCTCAGGCTCCCATTCAAACTGCTCTGGTACACTCAGTGACCAAATGGGACCTTGGTGCCAGAGAGTGTGGCACGCCACACACTCTTCTTAACATTTCTGGAAGGGAAGCAGTTCAAAGAAATACTGAAAACACATAGGGACCCTGCATTCAGTGCCTAGGTCATAAGTACAAGATCAGTAAGGCCAGTTCAGATTGAAACTGCCCAGTTGTTGAGGCTACACATTGTTTCTAATTTGTGCTGAGGACATGCAGTACCCTCACTGAATATGAAACACAGACAATGGTTATACTTAGTCAGCTTAATCACTCCATTTGTGCTATACAGTGTCCTGAATTGCTACTGGTCAGCAGATATCAGTTTTCAAAAATAGCATTCATCCCCTTTATTATATTAAGATAATAAATCTTAATATATATTTCTTTGCTCTTGATTTCATTAAAAGAGGCCAACCATCACCTGTTGCTCATTGTAAACGATATGAAATGTTGAGCAGAATGTCTGTGCCACATAAGTTAGGGCTTTTTATGCTCTCTGGATATTATGATGAGTGAGTGATATTTTAAAAACCTGTCCTATATTTTTATTTTAAAAAATATTTTACTAATTTTACTTTTACAGAGAGGAGGGGAGGGAGCAAGAGAGAGAGAGAAACAGCAATGTGCAAGAGATACATCAATTTCTTGCCTCTTGCATGCCCCCAACTGGGGACCTGGCCCACAACCCAGGCATGTGCCCTAACTGGGAATTGAACCAGCAACATTTTGGTTCCTTTCAGTTTTCAGGCCAGCACTCAATCCATTGAGCCACACCAGCCAGGGCTACATTTTTCAAATTAAAAAATATAGTATGTATTAACCAGAAAAAATTAAGTTACTTCCATTATGATAATAATAAACATCTAACACATGTTCTAGATCTTTCCTTCCTAGATGGACATTTCCAAATTGGAGATGATTTGGACATGTCTACAAATGAGTGGTGTTTCTCTTCTGAATGGACAAAGCCACAGCCAGAAGTATCTTTTGCAAAGGGTGTCACCAACTGCAGCATGAATGGGTTTGAGCCCATGGCTATCACTCAGTACCCTCAGTCCCTGACTGTGAGTCCCTCTATTGAGCCAGGCCAGCTGTTGCATTTCTCTTCCCCAGCCAGCACCAGCTCCCCAGAGCCTGAATACCCTTGTGCCTTCTCCTCGGGGCACTTAGTTTCTCAGGCTGAGCCTGATGGGGAATATCAGTCACTCCTGAATTTTCCCCATCAAGAGAGATGTGTAGCTCATCCTCAGCAATCTGCCATGTGGGAGAATTGCAACTCTGACCAGGCAACCAGAAGCATGGGATCTCCCTTCAGCCAGCCTTTCAACTCAGCCCACTGTAAGTAAATCCCTCTAGATACTTGGAGGCTTGCCTCTGATTGGTTAGGGTTGAGAGTGAGTTGGCATAAGGCAGGGTGTCAAGACTAATTGCTGCCAGTCTGGACATGAGGCTTCTGAGGGACAGAGTGTTCTGCTTAAATGTTCTCTGTATCTTCACTAGGCTTCATTGACATTGACAGTTTAATGAATCAAGGGTTAAATAGAGAGCCAGCCAGATGAACCTGGCTGAGAATATTCACCCAGTCTGTTGATTTGGACTTATCCTAGAAAAATGATGGGCTGCTGCCTAAATTCATAGGGTTTGCATTCACCTCACTGTAAGCCACCAAATAATCCATTTGTAAAACAAAACTGTGGAATACCTACAAGCTCAGACTCTATCCTCCAAACAGGTTCGCATCTTGCAGTGATGCCAGGCTCCTGGGCAAAAACAAGGGTAATCTATACTAGCCATCTGCTCCACACATTAAAATTCAAAGCAATTGCAGAGGCAGCCCCATTGCTGCCTGGAGACTGTCACAGTGCCTGGCTGTATGTGGCTCACACTTGTGCACTGGGCTCCTCTTGCTCAGTTTCTCTTGGGTTCCTGTTCCCTGGTCATTACCCCTCCCACTGAACTAAAACAATTCTTCATTTACTCACTCACTCAGCAACTATTTAATTAGTGCCTACTAGATGCAAAATACCCATAAAAAAAAAACCAAAAAACCAAAAACAGGACTCCCTTCTTTGTAAAAGGATAGGGAAAGATATGGCCTGAGGTGTACTTTCTTTCTCTCTCTCTCTCTCTTTCTCTCTCTCTCTCTCTCTCTCACACACACACACACACACACACCAACAAACCCAACACATTTTACTACAAGATTTGCCTTTTACATGAAATACTGGGAATTATATATTTTATAGTTTCATGGGGCCAAGTCTGAATCCTCTACATTCCACACTCAGTGAATTTTATTTTAGACCTCCCTAGTCAATACATATCTGGGGTTCTATTGTCCCATTTCTGAGAGAAATTGGTAGAAGCTACCTTTACTCTGAATAAGTATATCATACACAAAAGGTTTATTCAGCATAGCTTCCATAAGTCAAGCACTGTGTTCTATCCTAATGCTGAAAAAAATTTCCCATTAAAATACCAGTCCATCATTTCTAGAGTTTGATTAGAAATGTACTTACAAAGAGTAAATTATTAAAATGTCATGCTTGGGAAACTTATGAAAATTTCTACCATGTACTCTTTGTCAAACATCTGTTCCTACTTTATTTAGAGGGAAAATTTGGCCAACTATGTTTTTGTATCTGCTCTGCATATACACAGCAGAGCTCTGTTTGAATAGTTGGTTAGAATGCAGATGGCACAAATTATTGCCTCACAAACATAACTCTATACAGTTTAAATCCAATTCATCAAGTATTTAGTGTGCATCTACTATATGCCAGGTATACCATGGTAAAACTATAATGCAGGCATTATTCCAGTCCCCCAGCTTCTAGATACATTTTTATTTTTTATTTTTAAATAAATTTTTAAAAATGTGTATCATTAAAGTCTTGACTGTCACAAAGTCTTCACAATTTTCTACTAATGTTGACACTAGTTGAATTATTTGGTGACAGATGGCTCCTGATCTGTTGGGGAAGTTAGCAACCCTTAATTAGAAACACTGCCTAGAAGAAGATGGGAACAAGGCCCAGGGGGCCTTAAGAACAGAAGGTTCTGCATTTTTGCAGCATTTAAGAAAAAATATGCTAGATGTCCATAAACTGAGGGGTAGGTGATTTGGGAGACCTGGAGTAAAACTGGGCACTTTCTAACCCAGTCCAAGAGATTTCATTTTCAACCATGTTTTACTTTTCTAGGTACGAAATATTTTCCCCCAGCTCATGGTCCTGCAAGTGTCAACCTTGCCAGTGATAGCCTTGCACATGAAAGTAAGTATATATTCTGCTTTTGATAGTGTGTCTCTACATCTTGAGAAAAAACTGGAGGAGAAGCTTGTAATGTAAATACCAGGATCTCTAACAACTGAAAAGACCCTCATTTCTATTATTTAGTATTTTTAAAAGATTTTATTTATTTATTTTTAGAGAGGGAAGGGAGGGAGAAAGAGAGAGAGAGAAACATCCATGTGTGGTTGCTGGGGGCTGTGGCCTGCAACCCAGGCATGTGCCCTGACTGGGAATCGAACCTGCAACGCTTTGGTTCACAGGCCACGCTCAATCCACTGAGCTATGCCAGCCAGGGCTATTATTTAGTATTTTCATAGTTAGAATTTGTTTCATCTGAGTCTCAAAAAGCCCATGCACTTGGTAACTTATAAAATCCTTGAGCATTTTTTAATTTTGACACAGAATCAACTTTATTGAATTTTTTAAAAAATCTGAGCTGAATCTGAGGTGATTCAGAAAAATGAACAAGTTTCAAACAGGTGAAAAGACTTGCCTTAAGATCACAGCAAATAGCAGAGGTACAAGCTCTCTGCTCTCACAGTATCATAATATCGAAATCATAAATTACAATAAGCATAAATCAGCAAAAATAATTCCAACTTAAATCATGTATACAACAGTGAAAAGTAGCAACTGGTAAGATTATTTTACTGTGTACGGGTTTACTGTATATCTGTGGCCAGCATACTATCCTCAAATAGGGGAGGGATGCAGAAGTCTTGGAAAGCATGCAAAGGAGCAATATTACCTTGGGAAAGGGCTAGGGAATGAGCTTTCCAAGTAGAGAGTAATTGAGGGGAGGTGGCCATCTTGCCACTGTGCTTCTGGGCAGAGGGAGACAGCAGAGTGAGGTGACTGGAAAGAAGGTAACTTCTTAGGGCTTTAAATAAAAAGACCAGGAAAACCCAGCAAAGCCCATGCTTGCTCTTAAGCCAGTCTCCCAGTCTTACTTGATGGTGAGAACCACAGGTGGAGATTGTGAAATGCACAGACCCTGAGACCTCACTTCCTGTTTTGGTAGGTTTGGCATAGGACTCAGTTGCCTCCGTATGTTTGATTCTTTACATATTTTATATTAACCTAATTTTAAAGTGAACTGGATAAACCTTTCGGTAGGAATTTTGGTAGTTTTGAAAGATTTTCTTCATGAGGTCCCAGGTAAGTATTTGTCAAAAGAAGGAAGGCAGAATCTCCTCTTATTCTTCCAATATGGCCTAGTCCCCTCATGTGGGCTGTTGGTTACCTATGATGCAGTGACCATGTAGAGCAGGAAAACAATCAACCAGAAGGGTAGTTAGAGAGATTTTCTTTTTTTTTCTTTTTTAAAGAGTTAGAGAAATATCAATGTGTGGTTGCCTCTCCCCACAGGAGACCTGGCCTGCAACCCAGGCATGCACCCGAACTGGGAACAGAACCAGCGACCCCTTGGTTTGCAGCCTGCGCTTAATCCATTGAGCTACACCAACCAGGGCGAGAGAGATTTTCTTGAGGTGATTCCCAAAAAGTTTGGTGCCAAAATTTTTAGTAAATTTGATTTTTTTCATTTGTTCAACTAGAAACTGAATGTATATTGCTTCAATGCCTATAGATAATAAGGACATTGATATTGCTATTTGCCAGAGTGTGTGTGTATATGTGTGTATGTGTATATATATACACATACCTTTGTGTGTATGTATGAATGTGTATATATATACACATACCTTTGTGTGTATGTATGTGTATATATACACATACCTTTGTGTGTATGTATATGTATATACATATACACATACCTTTGTGTGTATGTATGTGTATATATATATATACACATACCTTTGCCTTTGGTATGCCTTTGGTATATATACACATACCAAAGACATACACATATGCCTTTGGAGGTGTGTGTGTGTGTGTGTATCTGTCTTGGTCAGTCCCTTCACAGAGTTAATAATCTAGTGGATAAGGCAAAACCCCCTCCCCCCAAGAAAAAGGGAAAAAGCAAAATTTTTACATGTTATGATTAAGTGCTATGAAGGAAACACATGGTGTTGCCATAGAGAAAGATGGGTGCCAATGTTGAATAAGGTGGTCAAAGGAGGCTTCTTGGAGGAAAGAACATGTAAGCAGGGGCTGCAAAGAAGTGCGGGAGCCAGTTTTAGGGAGAGTTAGGGTAGAGCTAGAGGGAGATGGAGAAAGCTGCCCCATGTAAAGGCCCAGAAGTGTGTGAGGAATGAGAGAAAGGTCACTGTGTTCAGAGAGTAGTGTGAAAGGGAAAGTGGCACAAGACTATGCTGGAGAGGTAGACAAGGGCCAGGTGACAGAGAGTATTTTGGATTATGTTGGGAGTTTGAATTTCATATTCTAAGTGACTTGGTGAACCCTGGGAGACCCTTATTAAGTTCACTGTGGATTTAATAAGGTCACATAAACTGTATAGATAGATTGGAGAAAGACAAGAATGAAAACAGAGATCAGTTTGGAGGCAAGAAGCATGGAAATATAATAGCCTGGACTAGGTAGCGTCAGTGGAAAAAGAAGTATATGTATTTGAGATCTATTGGGGAGGTTTAGCTCTTACGATTTGCCTAATACTCTGGATTGGTTTCAGGTCTTTTACCTCCTTGGCTAGGATTATTACTAGGTACTTTATTTTTCTTGTTGCTATAACAAATGGGATTTTTTTTCTGATTTCTGTCCCTGATATTTCATTGTTGGTATACAAAAGTGCCTTTGATTTCTGAATATTGACTTTATATCCCCCTGTTTTGCCAAATTGACTTATTAGGTCGAGTGGTTTTTTGGTGGAGTCTATAGGGTTTTCTATGTACACTATCATGGCATCTGTAAACAATGACAGTTTTCCTTCTACCTTTCCAGTTTGAATGCTTTTTATTTCTTTTTTTTTTTGTGTGATTGCTGTGGCTAGGACTTCCAATACATGTTGAATGGAAGTGGTGAAAAGTGGATACCCTTGTCTTATGCCTGATCTTAGGGGAAAAGCTTTTAGTTTTTACCATTGAGTATGATGTTGGCTGTAGGTTTCTTGTATATGGCCTTTATTATGTTGAGGTATGGTCCCTTTATTCCCACTTTGCTGAGTGTTTTTATCATAAATGGGTGCTCTACCTTATCCAATGCTTTTTCCACATCTATTGATATGATCATGTGATTTTTGTCTTTCCTTTTGTTTATGTGATGTATTACATCACATTAATTTGTGAATAGTGTACCAACTTTGCATCCTTGGGATGAATCCCACTTGATCATGGTGTATGATCTTTTTAATGTATTGAAGAATGCAGTTTGCCAATATTTTGTTGAGTATGTTAGCATCTATGTTCATCCATGATATTGGCCTGTAGTTTTCTTTTTTTCTTGTGTCTTTGTTTGGTTTTGGGATTAGGATGATGCTGTCATCATAAAGAGAGTTCGGGAGTCTTTCCTCCTCTTGGATTTTTTGGAGTATTTTGAGAAGGATAGGGGTTAGCTCTTCTTTAAATGTTTTGTAAAATTCTCCTGCGAAAGTGTCCAGTCCAGAGCTTTTGTGTGTCAAAAGATTTTTTATTACTGCTCCAATTTCATCAGCTGTTATCAGTCCGTTCAGGCTTTGTGCTTCTTCTTGATTCAGTTTTGGAAGATTACTTGTTTCTCAAAATGTGTCCATTTCACCCATGTTATCAAATTTCTTGACATATAGTTGTTCATAGTAATTTTTTACTATCCTTTGTATTTCTGTGGTATCAGTTATAATTTCTCCTCTTTCATTTCTGATTATATTTATTTGGGTCCTCTCCCTTTTTTTTCTTGATGAGTCTGGTTAAAGGCTTGTCAATTTTGTTTATCTTTTCAAAGAACCAGCTCCTGGATTTATTGATCCTTAGAATTGTTCTTTTAGTCTCTGTCATTTAATTCTGCCCTGATCTTGATTATTTCCTTCCTTCTACTCACTACAGTCTTTGTTTGTTGGTGCTCCTCCAGTTCTTGTAGATGTAGGGTTAGGTTGTTTATTTGAAATTTTTCTATCTTTTCTAGGTAGGCCTGTATCACTATGAACTTCCCTCTCAAGACTGCCTTTGCTGTGTCCCATAGGTTTTAAGCTATTGTGTGTTCATTTTCATTTGTTTCTAGAAACTTTTTGATTTCTTCCTCGATATCATTGTTAATCCACTCATTGTTTAATAATGTGTTGTTCAGACTCCATGAATTTGAATGTTCTTTTTTTTCTTGAGGTTGGTTTCTAGTTTCAAACCCTTGTGGTCTGAGAAAATGCTTGATATGATTTCAATTTTCTTGAATTTGTCGAGACTCATGTTGTGTCCTGTCATATGGTTTATCTTTGAAAATGTTCCCTGTACACTGGAAAACAATGTGCATTTTGCTTCTTTTGTGTGAAATCCTCTGTATAATTAGTTAAGCCCATTTGATGTAGTGTGTCATTCAGTGCCACAACATCCTTGTTGATATTTGGTTTGGAAGATCTGTCCATTTTTGACAGTGGTGTGTTAAAATCCCCTACTATAAGTGTGTTGCTGTCTATATCTTTCTTGAAGTCCTCTAAGATTTTCCATATATATTTGTGTGTTCCTATGTTGAGTGAATATATGTTTACAATGTTTATATCTTCTTGATGAACTCTTCCTTTGAGTGTTATGAAATGTCCTTCTGTGTCTCTTTCTATGGCCTTTGGTTTGAAATCTATTTTGTGTTCTGCAAGTATTACTACTCTGTCTTTTTTTTCCTGTCCATTTTCTTGGAACATATTTTTTCCAACCCTTTACTTTCAGTCATGTAGATCTTTTTTTCTGATGTGGGTCTCTTGTAGGCAGATTTTTAGCTGCTCTTTTTAAAAAAGATTTTATTATTTATTTTTAAGATAGAGGAGAAGGGAGGGAGAGAGGAAGAGAAACATCAATGTGTGGTTGCCTCTCATGCACCCCCTACTGGGGACCTGGCCCACAACCCAGGCGTGTGCCCTAGACTGGGAATCAAACTGGCAACCCTTTGGCTCACAGGCTGGCACTCAATCCACTGAGCCACATCAGGCAGGGCTTTAGCTGCTCTTTTAAAATGCAAATTTGCCAAGCCTTTTCATTTTGGCTGAAAGGTACCTATAAATGATGTTAACATAATCCAATTAAATAACTATTTTTAGAGGGAGGGCTTTTTTAAAGGCAAATATTAGAACCGATTTGTATGGTAATGGGAAAGCTCCAACAAGGATGAAAAGTTTGGCTCTGACTGCTGTGGCTCAGTGGGATGGGCATCATTCAGCAAAGTGAAAGGTTGTTGGTACAATTCCTGGTCAGGGCACATGCCTGGGTTTCTGGCCTGGTCCCTGGTTGTGACATGTGTGAGGGGTGGCTGATCAATGTTTCCCTCTCACATCAATGCTTTTCTCCCTCTCTTTCTCCTTTTTTTCCCTTCTCTAAAATAAATAAATAAAATCTTTAAAAAAAGATGAAGGAGGATGAGGATAACTTCATGGGTGAAGTCACTGAGAACATGGAACAGACATATGGAAGTGTTGACATTTGCTAGGAAGAGGGCACATTCTACCATTGCAAGCATATAAAAGAAAAACAAGGACACACGTGCAAATAAGCTTGTTTGTGGGGAGTCTACAGAGTACTAATCAATTGATTTCTATTTTCTCAGTGGGCTATGGGGCAAGATCATCAGCTGAGGGTGGAAATTAGTGATATTGAAGAAGGTGGAAAAGTATGAAAAAGTCCTCTTGAGCACTGGGAATGCAAGCCTGCTCATAGACAAATATGAGCAGGATTTCTTAGTGCTGATCTAAAGTCTTAGATCATGAGTTTCAAGTGGAAAAATTCAGCTGGGTTGTGCAATTTTCATCAGTGGTGCTAGGTTAGTGTAATGTACAGAGAAGGCCAATGATAAGGCTTAGACAGGGTTGATGTTTTGGCAAGTGAGCATGATGAATGAGGAAAGAGGAAAAAAGGAAAGGAGCTGAGAGTGTTTGGAAGTGAGTTATTATCACAAGGGACCATGGTATCTAAGCTACAAAAAGAAAGAAATAGAGACAGATGGAGGGTAGTGTGTAGTGGAGGTTGATGGAATGAATGGAGGATTAGATTATGTTAAAATGCAGAAATAAGACTACTTAAGTCAATGACATAGGAGGTGGTGGTTGAACAGTAGATGTTTGATATTGAGATGACAAGGGTGTCACCTGGGCAGGTGATTTCAAATTCTAGCATGTGACTATGGGAATGTTTGGCTGAGATATAGTAAAAGATCATTAGAGATGAGAATAACAAGAATTACAGAAGTGAAGCAAAATAAGAACCAATACCTACTTATAATGGAGGTGCTATTTATATTCTGTTCACAGATGAGAAAATAAGGCAGGTGTCATTAATATTCCCAGGTGACATATGGAAAAAGTGGGGTTCAGATAGGCTAGGTAACTTGCCCAAGGTCACACAGCTAGGCAGTAGTGAGGTTAAGGTTCACACCTGGGCTCCTTGACCCTCAAAGGCAGCTTCTTCCTCATTGTGCTTATCTTTTTTTTTTCTTCAGAAAGCCAGTCTTCAGAGAGAAGAAGAGATCTGTTCTTTTATTGAACTTCAGTTTGAAGAAGAGAATTTCTACTAATGATTTTCTACTGTGAATCTAGAGAGTCTGAAGACATCACCGTCTTTTCCTCTTTTCACCACTAAAGAGCACCAAGTCTGGAGCAAGTTTCCATCCTCCCTAATATTGAATACTACTCTTTGTTGGCACCTGTGCCCTATGGCAGGGGTTTTCAAACTTGCTAAGTGAACCTCCAACATATAAAATCATTAGAAAAGCTGTTCAAGGATGGGGAGCATGGAGGCACAGCTGCTTGCTCATCCCACCCTGTCACTACACCCACTGCTCTCTACTTAGAAATCATAGTCCCCTTACTCTCCACAAGTGGGAGAAAGATCAAACCAAGACTGACTGTGAGGTATCTTCTGAGGTTGTCCTACTTTTCCAATTGAATGGCGATACCAGGACCAGCCTGAAGCTTTCCAACCTTAACCAGACTGTGACCAGATTTACTCCTACCTTTACCAAAATCAAAATGAAAGTAGGGTGGGCAAGATCCATTAAGAATAGTTTGAGGCTAGAAATTTTCTGTATCTTCACATTCTGGAAGGAAGCTGTAAAGGTCTCAGGCTGGTTCTGATAAATAAAATACTTTTTACTTGGAAGATTTGATTCTTCAATTCTAAAAAAGTATCTCCAACCAGAATTGCTGAGAAATTAAGGGACTAACTTATTGGAAGTTAGTAAGTTAGTTAGTTAGCAAACTGCCTCATTCCAAACTGGACCTAGAGTAAGTTCTGTATCCAGAGCATTTCTTAGCTGCAATTCTATGTGTTCCTGTCTGCTCTAATTCTGAGGATGGGGACTCTGTCACTTTACATCCCATTGGTGTTCATCTGGATCTTAAGAGCACCTTGCAGCCTTCCACAGGTGCAACCTGTCTTCCATGAACAACATAACCTTTCCTTTAGCAACTCTTTCACTGTTAGTAAAATCAGGGAAAATTAACTTTCTTTTCAGCATAGAACCATTAGGGCCACCCATGTAGATAACCCACTTAGATGAACTACAGGTGGTGAAAGACATGACTTGTCCAAGACATAGCAGCAGAACCTCCCTGTAGATTGTTCCAGATAAAAAGACAAATTTCTCCAAACTCATTTATCTCTCTAATCTAGTAGACAGCCTTGTATCCACTGTGAGCTTGGTACTTATCACATGACAACCCTGGAAGCCCCTGCTGTAAATATTCCCCCACTCACACCCTACTTGTTCCTGTGTAACAGCTGATAGAGTGAATAATAAAGCTTCAGTTTTGTGGATTATGCTATACTTAATCCTAAATTATTTCACATTCCTGACTTTGTGCAAAGTTTCTAATAACCCTGAGATTGGCATTATTATTGTCACATAATACATATGGATACTGAGACTCAGAGTTGGTAAATAGCCTCCCAAGGTCACATAGCCAGGGCCAGGGCCAGTGCTGAAGCCATGTCTCTGACTTCAGAGCTTTTTTCTCTACCATAATACTTATCAACATCAGGGTGACTGTTAGATATTTTTCTCCCATCTGCTATGCAAATAAAGACCACAGCTCTTGTGTGAGTGAATTGATGACTTTGACAGTAATGCAGTATTTCTTCGATGTCAAAAACAGTTTTTCCAGTGTGTTACATGTTTCCTAGATTAGTAAAAGAAAAATTTACCCAGTATATTTTCTCTCAAAGTTATTTACCTTCAAATGCCATGGTCTAGTTGGGAAAATCCACAGTGGAGGCTGATTCTAGCACTTGTGACACATAATTTATACAAGTGTGTGCTTATCTTGGGTTGCCATGTACCTTCAGAACTGAGGTCTTAATATGATACTTAGGGGAAAGAAGTGATTCTGAGAGAGCCAGCATGTTATGTAGGCTGGATAAAATGATAACATTTCCCTGAAAATCCCTCAGTTTGGATGTTTTTGAGTAAAACTGGAAGCAGTAATTAATTTTTCCCTTTTGATAAACAGGGAAGAAAGGTCCTCTGGTCTCTGAGAAACCTCTGCTCTGACACATAGGTAAATTTCTGCCTAGATCATCCCCTACTTAAAATCTCAGATTTAAAAAAAAATCTCAGTCTTAGATTTCTGGCTTTCTACATCTACCTTTTTTTCCCTTTCCCACCTTATGTCCAACAGGCTAACTTTAAAAGCATTTCCTTGACTCATTTTGGCATTTTACTCTTACATTTAAAAGTGCACACAAGATGTGTGCCACCCTTCACACACAAAGGTAGTGTCATTGGCCCCTGTGCATGTGCATGGCTTCATCTATACACCTAGTAATAATCTTATGAGATTCTAGTTGAAGGGGCATGTGGAATTAGCAGATTGATCAAGGTTTGAAACAGGAAAGTTGAGGCTCAATAAAGCTAGAGACCATAAACCTCATTTACATTTTTCTCTACAGTTTTGAGAAATTGGACAGTGGCTTGATAGGCTCTGATTCACCAGCTGCTGCCCACCCTCAACACCCCACCTCCTACCCCCACCCCTACCAACACATACCCATTCCTGAACTTTACCATCTGGAAGAATGAGAATTGCTTTACATGGGCTGTAAACTTACTTACTTGAAGAATTCCTGTCCTGAAAAAAAGAAGTGACAATTTCCTTTTACTGGTAGCAAAGACTATCTTTTTAGATTCCAAATAAGAATGTTTGCACATCCAATTGAGACCTATGTTTATGCATTTCCATTCTAAAAATCAGTATCATGTGTAACACTGAAAATAAAATCATCCCTTCACAAATAAATGCTAACTAGAATATAAGAGTTATTTTACTGCCATACAAACAATAACCTCTGTCCTTTTCATAATTGTTTCTCTGGCTTAACATAATTACTTAAAAATAATTTTGTAAACCACTTGTTTTTTCAAAATGTGAAGTAATAATGCAATGGCCCATTTCAATTCCTTTAATGCATGAGATTTTAAAATAATATGTCACTGAATTTTTATAAATTAGTGATGATTATAGAAATGAATGAATTATAGCATTTTCATGAAAATTACAATTTTAATCACTATTTACTTACATATTTAAGACTAAATTAAGCCTCAAAGATCTTCTCAAAGAGAAGTTTGGTTATTTTTTCTTCATTTTAGTGATTATGCATGCTTGGAAGCAAGTTGAGTCTATTTGCAGCAGTTAGTTACTTTTTAGGTGAAAAGTAATCTCTCCACTAATCTTTCAAAATGAGAAGCATTTTTTTAATTAAAGAGAGGGAGAGAAACATCAGTGTGCAGTTGCATCTCATTCACTCTCCACTGGGCACCTGGCCCACAACCAAGGCATGTGCCCCATCTGGGAATCAAACCAGAGACCCTTTAGTTTACAGGTTGGCACTCAATCCACTGAGGCACACCAGCCAGGGCAGAAAGCAATTATTTAGTGCTACTGCAAACCTGAACTGAGAGGACACCTGGGTTACAATCCTGGCTTTGACTAGCTAGCTGTGTCATCTTGAATAAGTCTCTCTCTCTCTCTCAAACACACAAACACAGATGCACACATGCATACACACACACTCTGGGTCTCAATTTCTTTATCTCTAATATGAGATGATTCCTAAGGTCATTTCCTGCTCTAATAGCCTGTATTTTGAAACAAATGTAGTAGTTATGACATGACCTCTAGACGGTTACCATACTGGGGTTCAAAGAAGAGGACAGGGTCTGGACAACTGAAGAACAGAAGAAAGAACCATGGTGGCCATGGGTTTGCCATTCACCTGCAAAGAGTGTGGTTAGCCGAGTGCCTTCATCTATTAGTAGTAACTTAGGATCTGCTTAGGCTATGATCTTCCCAGAGAGCCCCCAGCCAGTGACTGAATATTTTAAATGTACTAGGGCTTGGCCATTTCTGCTCAGCATGGTACTCCTCTAATGGGCAATATTTGTTCTAGATTTCCTGTTGAATCATTTGAGACTTTGCCAGATTTGCATCATGGGCTGAGTTTCTTCCCTACTCAATTCTGCTTCCTCTTCATTTTTTCTTTCACAGGTGTTACCCACAAAGACCCTATAAACTTCTCATGTCCCTAACTTTTAGTGCCTGCTTCCTGGAAGACTCAGCTGAAAAACATATAGCACTATTTTTAGATCAGAAACAGAAAGAAATCTCAAGACTTATGGAATAGATGCTAATCAGACTAGACCAGCTGGAGTGGAACATTCAGGTTGATAAACAGTTGAAAATCAAACTTCAAAGGTAGATTTGTGGGGTCAGATTAGTGAGGTTGATTGACACTGTCACACAGAGGTAGAATTAAAGTTGATGCCAGATTAGAGCCCTAGGTCAGTCTCGGGCATATGTTTTTATTTACTTTTTATTTATTGATTTGAAATAGAGAGAAATGTTGATTTTTTGTTCCAGTTATTGACACATTCATTGGTTGATTCTTGTGTGTGCCCTGACCAAGGATTGAACCCACAACCTTGGCATATTAGGACAATGCTCTAACCAACTGAGCTACCAGGCCAGGGCCCAGGCACATCTTAAATCACTTACCAGGCCAGCACAGAAGATGGTTACTTCTGCAGACCTATGTGGTCTATGTAAATCAATGATTCCTAAAAGGCCCACTGGATGCCTCATTGTCACCTGGGGAGCTTGATGAAAATGAATACTCCTCAGTTCTGCCCTAGACTTACTGAATCTGAGTTTCTGAGGATAAGAAACACCACCTCCATCTCCCTCTCCTCCCTATCCTGTAGATATCTGCTGCATAAAAATGTGAGTGTGCTCACCATTACTGAACTGTACACTTAAAATGGTTAAGATGATAAATTTCACATTATGTGCTTTTTACCACATTTGAAATAAATAAAACCAGCCTTAGAAAGTTCTGGGGACTTTTAAGCAATGTCCAAGAAATTTTAAAAAAGGAGAGAGTAGAAGAGAGGTGATGAACATGTTATGTTCTCTGTTTTAACAGTGTAAGTTTTTTTTTATTTGCCCTTATCCTTGTAGTCAATGCAGATCTAGAATCTTCAGACTGTA